CAGAGGAAGTCCGAGCCACGAACACGGGAGCTGAAGCCGTCATGGTGTCCGTGCATCCGGAGGAGGGGCCGGCGCCATTTGACAGTCTCTGGGTCCCTGATCTTGTTTCTCGACACTGTCTTCTTCCTGGCCGAGGGGAGGATGAATGGTTGGGGCCGGCAGAGTCACATTCCCTCAAGCAACACAGGAGATATGCACTTCGTGTTTTCTGGCTTGTCGTCAGCCAACGGCACACACACCATCCTCGTCTCCCCCGGTCTCATGCCGTTCCGAGGAGGGGGGCAGTGCTCCATCGGGTAAAGGAGCGGGAGGTGATGTACTGCTGCTGCTGCTGCTACTGCTGCAAGTTGACATCGGTGGGGGAGGGTTTGGCCAGGGCGGAGATGCAGGTAAGGGCCGGCCCCATTCGGTAAGAATCCCGCCGAAAACCACCGGTTCGGGATAACTGAGGTGAGTTAAAGGTGAGAGGTCGGTGTAGGATAGGGAGGTGATCGGCAACAGCCACGCCGAACCTCTCGCCTGTTCACTAATGAAGCAAGGTGGGGGAAAAACGAAGTCTGCCCAGACAGGGGGATCGACCTCGATCTTCGAAACCAACGTCCCGCGGCACAAGCTCGTCCTTGCCGTCCAATCCGCCTTGTCCACTGTCCATTCCCTTGGATCTTTCCATTCCTCCGCAGGGTGTCATTGAGGAGATGGAGCTCTTTCCTGGGCAATATCATAGGCCGGGGCCGGTTTGGGCTGTTGGCCTGATAAGATTTTTGACGTAACGGACCGACTACGGTACAGGGCCAGGTAGGCAAAAAGGAACAAGACCAGAACTAGGGGTCCTGGGTCATTTCGTTGAAGAACCCAAGAGCCAAAAGAGCCCGGCCCAGGTTACGTTGCACCGCATCTCGCTTCGAATGCGTGATCTTCGGAGTTCAAGTCACTTTACAGCTTTCTCTCCAGGTCGTCGCAGAACTGGTTTGTCCCACGCAAAGAGGGCCCTTTGGAAGAAGATAAGAAAAAAAGAGACATTGCCAATGTATTTGGCGCGACGGGGCCTGCTCAAATGTCTGCAGATCACCGGCAGGTGAGAGACCGTGAGAGAACCTCTGGGTCTCAGTATGTGTCCCGCTTTTGGGATTCCTGGTCGACAGAATACCGCACCGACGATTATCAGGTGAGAAGAACTGACGATCGACATCTAGACCGATGCCTATTTTCTCTTTTCCCCAGTCCTTTGCGACCTTGGTTATCGCCCAATTTGGCCCCGGCCGCCGTCCATCTCGGATCCCAAGAAGACTAGTCGGCCCCCCGTAAGTCGACATTGTAGACGCAATATTGAGTGATTTTCTTTTTTCTTCCTTCACCTCCGCTCCACGCACAAAAGCTTAGGGAACCCTTTTGGCCTTTTGAATCGCAGGCCCCGATGTGGAAGGTGGTTCGCACGCTCGTCCACACGCTCATACCATAGGTAGCAGCAACAGCAAGTCCAGCCGGGGGGTGCCTCTGGATTTCCGCTCTTGTAAGGATTCCGAGTCAGTACCCTTGTTCGCACTCGACGCGGCTTCTCTATTTCCTTTTTTTTGCTGTTTTTTTTGTGGAAAGGGAACGCGGGATGGACGATGGACCTATTGCACTCCCGGGGACTTCCACTGTCTTCACCCGGAGGCCGAAGGGAGGTCCCGATCCATGTGCGCGTCCTCTTACTACGGTTTTCGGACGGAGCCTGCCAATCACCGCCCTCGGGGCTTGATCCGGTCGCACAGAGTTTGGGACGGATCTGGTCACGAAAACAGTGACGGGCGTCGGCGACGACGGCGGATCTCTCCCCGGGCCTCGCCAAGTTTTTTTTTTCTTGCAGAGAAGGGGAAGGGAGCTGGACTGTTGCTCTGAGATCCTTCCTCCCCCCTTCTGCCCCCGGCTTTTGGGGCCTTGAAAGTTGGGTCTATAGTTCCTAGCTGCTGCTAAAGCTGCTGTTGTTGCCCCGATCCCACCATACCAAGACCCCAGATGCCGAAAGAGCGGAACTGACGAACAAGACTTTGATCACATATCGGTTCGGGGGGGGCACAAAGATTACCCAACGGGTGCTTCTCGTGGAACCCGGACGGCGAGGTTGGAACATTGTCTCACTCCAATCGATGGGAACCAATTGCCCACGGTTTCTGGGCTGCTAGTCTGAACTCAAATCGAACGGTATTGAATCCCACGCCTCCCCTTACACAGTCCGGCTAGATATCGTCAGCGTCAGCAAACGAGGAGGCTCGTGATATCATGTAAAGATTTACGTATCGTTTATGAGCCCGCAACTTGGCTCACCGAGAGGACGGTCGCACCATTGAGGGATCATCCCACGTGGGGGGTTGCCAGGGTTGCTGGAGCTTCGTAGGGTGCACAAGGATAAGCTCCTGGGAGGAAGAGGTACAGAGGATGTCGGGAGCGCGCCCGTCCGGCTGGTTACATCTTGTTCGCCAAGAGACGAGCGGGCAAGGCCGAAGTGCCGCAACTAGACACCGAGAGGGTGTGATGTGATGCGTGGTGCCTAAGACAAGCTTCAACGGTGCCAGAGGGCCTCAATGTGCCCTACGCCGTAGCGGGGGTCGTTCGCCGTTGCATAACTGCGCGGCCAGTGACTTCTCCACCCTCACCTCACCACTTGGAACGGTTCAAGTTTGGGATGCCGGGGACGGTGGGCGACGCTTTAACCCGGAAGGGATGGGTTCTCGGGGCTGAAGATTGAGAAGCGGCATTGCGAGAACTGCATGTTTGGAAGTCGGAAGAGCATGCATTACGAGTAAGCCACCAGTATACGAGGGAGGCGTACGTCGGCGGCCTTTGCTGCGAGGTCGTACAAGGGACTAGTATGTGAAACGATGCAACGGTGATATATGTGCTTACTGTTGCAGACGTGGATCCGTTCTTGCTGCGAGTCTGCCGTCGGTGTTAGGAAAAGATGCCGCTTGCTCTCCTGGAGAACCTGCTTCAAGGAAATTGCCGCCGCAGAGACGCCTGCACAAGATGCTATACTGCCGGCCTCGACGAGTACGAAGACTCCTGATGAGGTTGGGGTGAAACGGAAGACCATGAAGCCAATGTCCCCGGATCATAAAACCACTGTATCAAGCTGAACACATGCGTGCCGTTTGGAAGCGTCGTTCGTTGGCTCCGAGTGAGCACACTCAGCCGACACGCCACAAGTAAGGTTTTAAAATCCTGGTCTAGACTCTGTGTCTCGTAATAGGGGCTTGGGGGCAGGCATCGCTTTTCAGGGTCACGAGATATAAACTTTGAGCGAACGCGCTCGCTTACCATAAGATTCAGCCCTGTCTTGGCTTGTTGATAAGAATTACACGTTGAGGGTTTGTGATAAGTCAGTTATAGAGACTGTGTGGTAGCTTTTCATGGGACTGTTAGATGCTTGGGTCACAAGGAGAGGCAGTCACCCGCAGCGTAATGTACATTTTTTTCCGAGGTCAAAAGCTCGGTTCGAATTAAGCTTAAGCACAGAGAGAACTGTACTTATTGACAGACCCAAGTGTGGCCCGAAGAGGACAATAAGTTGGTTTGTCATTTCAGTCCAGTTAACCGATCAACAACCTTTACTAGTTTCTCTTCAATGCCAAATGTGATGCATGTACTTTGTATAACGAAACTAAGCTCACGTTAAGGAAGTTTTAGTGCAGCGAATGAATGAACGAAGAGACTCACATGCCTTCAGTTTGTTGGCTCCAATACGGGTGAATATTGCCAAGAAATACGTGTACGATAGCGTCTCCATTGTACTGGGTGAGTCAACAAAGTGACATATGGCTTGGCTGTGTTCTGATACAACCAACGTAAATGGGCTTAACGACGGTCGATGAGAAGTATGCGTCCGCAACACTGATGTCAGCTAAAACATACGGGTTCCTCTATGCGGTGTTTTCTCTTCCGATGCGTACAGTCTATTGAGTATTGGTGGAGGATAAATGCAATAAAGAGCGAACGTAGGTTCAGGTTCTGAACAACTCGGTGCTGGCGTTGATGCCTAAGAGCAGCCACATCAGACTGACAGTGATCATGCCGATTTCGTTGTACTTAATGAAACAACACGATTGGAATGTGACTCTACTTCAACATTGGGACCATGATCAATGCCAAATATGCCCTTAACATTTGGCATCACGAAAAAACTGGATATGCGAGCTTGAGAGTCAAAAGACATGTACAAAAGGGGACACCATGAAGTCAGGAGGGAACAAGGCCGAGCAGACGATCCAAGCTTACAATTTATGCCATGGATGCCACTACTATTGAGTCTGCTCAAGTCCTTCAAACATGGAGCAAACCAAGCAGATGTTTGTCCTCGGGATAAATGCAATCCCAACTCATGCTTCTATCTGTCTGGGTGTCTTTCCCGCTCACCTCGACTTCCGTACCCCCCACAAAGGACGTCGACAACGGTGGCGGGGCCCATCAAGGTGCAAACGAGGGAGATCAGAGGGTCCGGAATATGAACACGAAAGATTTCAGGTTGATGCTGTCTCTAAGCAAGGGAGGATAGTCGAGTGGATTTGAGATTGATGTTGTCAAGCATCCTTCCTATATTGTCGAGGCCGACAAGACCAAAAGTCTCGAAGGGGGCTTTTTACAATTTTGCGTATCCTCACAGTACACGACCATGATATATTGAAGCTTAGCGGACCGAGTACTTTCTATCCATAGTCCCCCTAATTCTGAAAGTCTTGCTGCAAAGCTCCTCTGGGAAAGGAGATGCACTGGTTCGATTTCAGCCGGCTCCCTTGTCACTTATGGTCTCTCGTACCCTTTCCTTCAGTTTGTTTGGATTTCTTTTGTTGTCGAGGAGGACATGCTTAATCAGCTTTGAATCGTATACATAAGGCAGAACGTTAATGGACCCGAGATTGTTTCCGTCTCGGAACATTCATATCATGTCCGTCTTTCTACTAGTTCATCCATGACATATACTCACTGCCTCGTTGACTTTTCCTTCTTATAAATTATACTAAACCTTACGCGCCCAACCGTCTCGCAACTTCCTCAAACCCGCCTTCCCCTTCCCCGATCCAAATATCAACCCACCCTTTTGCATCCTCAAACGCCTCTCCATCCCTATCCCAGTCCTCCTCCCCGGGCCTCTCGACATACACAGTCTTCATCCCCCTACCCCTCGCCGCCATCAAATCACCCAGGTGCGCCGCCACCATCGCCACCTCCCTCGGCTTCCCTTCCTCTCCCAAAAGCGCTCTCACCGCACCGTCATACACCGCCGGGTTGGGCTTATACGCCTTCCAGTCCTCGCTCGAGAGCAGCCTCTTGAACCCGAGCCCCGCGAAAGCATCCAAATCCCGGAGAAGGGACCTGTTCCCGTTCGAGAGCGTCGAGGTTTGAAACTTCCCGCCCAACCGCCGCAGGCCCGGGGCGGAATCGCCCCAAGGCCGCAGACGATGCCATACCAGACTCAACTCTCGCACCTCCTCTTCCTGATACACCCTGCCCAGCCCCCACGCCTCCAGCAGGGACACTAGACTGTCATAATGATGCGTGTCAATGTCCTTCCACGGCGTCGAGCTGGGGTCGTAGCTTCGCGTGAAGTGCTTGTACGAGTCCCGCCACTGCTGCGTGAAACGGCCCCAGTCCGCGGCCGCGAGCTTGTCTTTGTCTTCTGTGGCGAGTTTGGAAGAGCCCGAGAGCTTGGCTCGCGCGCGGGACGTGAGCTCCTCGACGACGGAGGTGCGCCAGTCCACGACCGTGCCGAAGACGTCAAAGGTCAGGGCCTTGAGGTTGCGCAGGTCTTCAGACTTGATGTTGGGGAGGTCCCCTGCGATGCCGGACATGGTTTCTTACTGATGTTTCCTCGGAATTCTCAGTCTCGAAGCGACGTTCACATAAGTAGGCTTCCAGTGAGAGACTGAGCGACGTAGACTAGCGTTTGTAATATCGTCGGAAGCCGCTTTGACCAAAAACAAAGGCGTCACCACTAAGTAGTGATGGATGAGTGGTGTCAAGGCGGGGTTCGCCCTGTCCAAGGACGCACGCATGCTGACTGATCCATCCCGACCCCGCCTCGCCCACCACCCCGGGACCGGGAGGGGCCGTGGTGAGACTCAGTCCGTCCGGCGGGCCGGGCTGACGGGGCGAAAGTTTCGACGTCCGACACGTAGTTGTGTTTACTCACCTAGTAATATATTGGAAAAGTTTCGTCATGCCGCAATAAACTTTACTGATATCTGGACAACTCCTACATCACTTCCTGGAGATGGCATGGTCGGTCTTGTCGTGCCCGTACACAACGCGCTGGTACGGCATGAAGAACAATCAATGCCGTCGCGTTCATACAGAAACATTCATGGTCATGCCACAAGGCGAAATACAGCGTGGTAATGGATGAATTGATGAATAATGCAATTCGAAGCAAGGAATCCCGAGTAGTCCCGAGTACGTCACTCAGACGACGATGGCTTTGGGAGCACAAGGATGACAGAGAAGGATGTAGGCCCAGTGCCGAAGACAACGAATTCGCATTCGTTTCCAAGACAGTTCATTAAACAATCGCACAATAAGATGAAGGACAAACCCGCCCTCCTGGATGTCTCTCCCCGCCGTGTCATCACGACGACCAGTCCCAACCCCGTCGTCTGCTTTACATCGCCCCTTCTAGACTCCTGGTCATCTCTCCAAAGCAGGAAGAAAAAAAAGGAAAACCTTGAGCTTGGCTTTGGGGGACTTTTAGTAACGATTCAGGCAACCTCGGCGCAAACTCCCAAGCACACACCCTACGTCTCGCCGTCTTCGCCGGCCACCCAAAACGACGCCTAATCTGGCGGATCGCCCGGCATCTAGGATGACAAATGAAGCGTCATCTCCAAGAAACCAGGTCCTCGCCCACTGCGCCCTCGTCGACTGGGTCTCTGAACCCCCCTTTGACGTCTTGTTTCCGTCTATCTAGCCGAGGAAACAGGGAAACACGGGGGCGGAGCAAGCAGTGCCAAAGTTCAGGTGGCGGTGAATGACGAGATGACGAGACCGCCGTTAGTTACCAAGATTTGCAATACGAAATGACTTCAAAGACTCTGTCTGGCCCAGATCCACGGGAGAGATGACCCAGCTTGGCGTTGCCCTTCTGTCGGGAGAAACTCTGACATTAGCTTGGATGTCAATCCCCCGGCTGGAAAAGCAGAACAGCCGTGTTCGTTGCGTGGGCCCCTTGTGTTCAAGAGATGAACACACCGAGATGCCATGACATCTTGCGTATCCTCGCAGAGACACGACAGTGACTCACCAGGCCATGCCAAAGGTTGATCAAGCGGTTTGCATAGCCATCCTTTAACACGCCGTTGATATGAACACCAGCACCTGCTTGTTATGAAGAGTCGATAGCACACGCCGCCCAGGCATTCGTCTTTGGTGACCAAGTTGTGCGACCATTTCGGAGGATATGCAAGGTATTTGATGCACCAAACATCGTCTCGTGGTTGCTTCCTGCAGCTCACTGGCAAGCCGTCGATTGATATGTAGAAAGGGGTGGAGCATATCGCGATGTACGGCCACCAGCCTACGCCCAACTCTAGGGCTTGCTAGCGAAGGGCCTCCTTTCGCTCAAACCCCGACGGGGCCGCTTCACGAGAGGTAGTCGCCTATCCTCACAACCACTGCGAGCCCCGACTCTAAGCTCTCTTCTCGCCTCCGAGGCTGTCGTGGAGACAAAGCGGACTGACCCGATGAGGTGGGAATAGTACGGCCCGCGCTGGAGACATCGGCCCACGACCGCGAGACCTCTGCACTGACGCTTGACTGGCGTACAGATGAGTGGCGCGTAGCGCCAGAGAATTGGCATCATGGGTATGAAGCCTAACTGCGGACACAGGCCTTCCGCTGAACCAGCTTTGCGTCGTGTCATAGAAACGGTCTGGTTACCGCAGTTGCTAATCCGCCCTCGCTCTCGCGCGGACATTGACCTTCATCAAACCTTGCACATTGCCGGATGCCCGCTTGCGTTCCAGACACAATCTCAACCGTTTAATTACACTACACGATGACGGTGGTGAGAAGCGGCGCCCACATATCATCTGCGAGGGGGCCCGTTTATTCATAGCTCTGGGTCCCTCCCCCGTTAGTGGAATGGCCCAGGGCCTGCGAGAGAGCTGCCAACCACGTCTCAGCACTGCAGTGCAGCCTGGCCTTGTCGGCCCCGTAGATTTACCGTAAGGCGGGAGGGGGGGGCGCCCTTCATCCAGAGCCAGGGCGACGCCGTACAGGTCATCCAAAATATGCACTGATGATGTTCGTGCCGTTCAGATGATGGGCATCAGGGAGCCGGGCCGCTGCCCGAGTCCCTCCCGCACCTGCACGCGGCGTTGGCATGCCCAAGCTCTGATTTAAAGTCAAAAGATGTCGAATATCTGTCGATTCAATTGCCTCTAGTTGAACCAATTCCCTCCACTGTTACCCACGTGCCAGAACTGGCTGAAACACTAGATCATGCCTAAACTCGCGAGCAGATGGAGAGTTTGCGGAACGAAAAATGAGACATATTATGAACGGGGCCGGTCATGGCTGACCAAGAGATGGGGACTGCCTTGGGAAGCGACGGGAAATGACCTCCCCATCTCTGGCGCGAAACTTTTGGCGGCTCGTATGGCGCAGTGCGAAGTGAAGCGGCTTTTTGGTGAGCGATGAGGCACCAACGGCAATGTTCCGGCCACGCGTTTAATCTATTTGCATCAGCCAGATCGCAAACTACCAGTCGATCTGGCATTGAATTCGACATGCATGCTTACGCCTCGACCCGGCCACCGAAGGCTGAGGTCCCCATATGATGTTGATTGAGTTGTAGGCTGTGCCGAATGGTCGCACAGGATACCACCTCGCAATCTGCTCGGACATGCTTTCTGCTTTCCACTTTCGCACCTTGCGCCGGCCGGTTATGCTTGTTGGGGCGCCGGGACTGCGTGACAATTTTGTTTGCGGAATATATAAATCCCCTGCAAATGGGCTGTAAAAGTTCCTTCAAAGTAGCCGTTCATTTGCGCAACGGGGCTTGTTGTCACAAGCGAGCGTGATAGAGCTGCAGATGCTCCGCTTTGCCCAAACAAAACCTGGGTCGGCAGCTACCAAACGTAGCCTGACCGAGGTCGGTAAGAAACTCCAGTGTGGCGTTGTCTGTCATCTCATATTCTTCCGGCTCGGCGAGACCTCAAAGTTTACCGAGAGGATTCTCAACTACGTTGTCCTGTGTAAATTCCAGGACGCGGGTGGCGGCTGGGCGTCGCGGGGGCGATGTGGTGGGAGGGAGGCGAGTGACTAAGGAACACGGGCCGAGCATTGGTCAGTCGCTAATGCTCTTAGGGTCACTGACGGTTCCGTTGCATAAGCTGTAGTTGGAGCATTTAGCAGCGGGCCTTGTGTCGTTGGACCTCTATCTTGCAACTCGAAGATTATGATTGGAGTGCGGTAATTAGGCGTTTGGCATCTAGTCGATTCCCGACTTGATAGGATGTCACACTCGCTTGGCGGGTCTTCTCGCGGGCTCTGCATGCTTGGTCACAGGCGCGAGCGAGTGTTACGTATCTCATGTAAGCAGATGAACCCGGGGAAGACACCCGTACGGGAAGAGTGTGTGATGACTTGGAGATACATGTTTGCTCCACGTATGATGGATACATAGTGTTAATTCGAACCTCGAGCAAAGTGGCTCCACTCCCCGCGATGTTTGCTCCCCAGACATACCCAGGTCAGGGCGCAAGAAGCATGTTCTCTGTGCCTGGTTTTTGAAGTGAAAGAACCCATATTTGAATTGAGGGTTGGTTGGGCGCCGGGAATGTGTTCCAAAACACCCAGTCCGACGCCAATACGATCAGTCAAATGGCTGGCCTGCTAGCGCAAGCCTCTCGCGCAAAAACCAGCCTTCTGTTTCTATCTTTTGTAGTCTTATTCGTCAATTGTTGGCATTAGTATCGGATTAGCAGACGTTGACCTGGCAGACGGCAGAGTAGACTCAGGGCTTCACGGCTTCGGACAAAGATACCGTGCTGATGAGGCGATTGAGGTTGTCTTCAAGAGACCGGGGACCATACCGGTTCGTGAGGGGGAAGCCTCAACGATACTACCCCCCTTTACCCCGTGCCTGATAACAGGAAGAACGGACATGGAGGGCGCACCTGATTAGTGTAGACTAGTAGTGAGGGAACTTGCGTGAGATTGCCAGGAGGGGGCGCGAACCGATGCGGCGGCGCCGGGGGCTTGCAAGCCTACCGAGTAGCTTACATTGCCATATGGACTAGGGGTTGAATCTTGCTTGCGCGGTCATGGTCTCCAAGTTGGGAAACGGTCTCCTTAAACCGGGTAGCAGTTGGACAACAACCCAGGATTCCGTTCGGATATCGAGCCGTATCCCGCATGTTCGGGTTTCCAGAAGCAGGACACGGGGTGTCAGCAACTCTGTAAGCTTGAGGTGCCAGAGATATTCCTTGTGGCTAGACGATGGGTCGAGCCGGCAGAATGTGAGAGCGAGGGACTAAAAAAAGTTGCCTGCGACGTAGAGACCAGAAATAGGAAGGCGAGGACGCAATTTCTATCCGAGCCGTACACCTTCGAAGTAAGGACTCGGGCACTTCAGTCTGGCGAACAGACAATGGGTCACGATCCGCATCTCGGGAGGCTACTCGCGGTCAGGGAGCCATCGCGAAAGGGGCCAATGACCGAACTCAACGACACCTCTCATCCCAAGTGCCCCACGGGCCATTCGTGTTGTTGGTTGTGAGAGATGATGATGCAAAGGTGCCTTGCTAGGATTGCGAAGCCTTTCGAGTCTTGGTCTGCAGAGTAGGCGAGCGGC